GCTCAACGGGGCCCTCTAGGCCTCTCGCGTGGGGCTCGCTGTGGAGGCCGTGTGGGGGCCTTCCCGGAAATGCCGGGGGCACCTTGGGCCAGGGGCACCTCTCACAACTAAACTACTAGGTCGGGCGTGCCCTCCTACAGGCGGATTTTGGACGAGAAATAAAACATAGTCGAAAAATAAAATTCAAGAATGGTCCCAAGTAGTGGAAACATCGTCCCCAGATGCCTTTTGTCACTGTTTGTGAATCTTCCCTCTGTAGAAAGACGTGCCCGACTTGACGCAACCCCCGACGGACACCTTTGCGTGCCTCCCGGCACCGGGAGGCGCCCATGTATCGAGGAAGGGGCCCAGCGGCGGGGCGAAAAACCAGCTGCGCGCAACAGAATGTCGTGGCTCCCCCTCTCCCTGTCCGACCCCGTCGCCTGGCCCGACCTCCCCGACCGACCCTTGCTGCAGGAAGGCGCTTGAGTTGATTGGTTTGAGATTCGTATCCCAGGATACCTGCCTTCAACGGCTGGCGTGTACAGTCGGGGCCCTGAAGAAGGAACCCTTCTCGTTGGGGAGGGGCTCCGCGCTCCTCAAGTGTCTCACAGCTTGCCTTGGAGGCTCCTTGGGTTTTCGATCGGAAATCGAAGTTCAGCTTCTGGGAGAAAGGGGCCTCCTTCCTTATTTGGGGTTCCTTAGGCCAACGCCCCCACTGTAGGGGTGAACCTGGAGACCCGCCGCTTTCCCCCGGATCGGCGGCGAGCCCGGCGGGGAAGCGAGAAGGGGCGGGACTGCTCAGAAGGCTCGGAAGTCCCCCGACCTGCTGAGAGGTGCTCCTGGCCATCGCTCGGACGTCCATTTCCTGTGTTTTTGCTCGGTTTCGTGAGTGTTTTTTTTCGCCAAATGATCAAGGATGCTCCTCGATGGTCCTCGCCGAGGGAAAAACGCACACGTCGGAGCGATGCCAGGGCTCCAAGCTAGACGAGCGCGTTCCACCGCTCGCAGAGTAGCCACTCGCAAATGGCCTGGATCCGCCGCGGGGGATCTACGACACATTTCATCGAAGCAGACATTGTTGTTTCGGAGGTTTGCGAGTAGGCACTCTGCGAGTAGTGGAACACGCTTGGTGATAAGCCTTCCCCGAGAATGCCGAAAACCTCTCAGAAGGCCGGAGGCCTTCTGCCGCCGCCTTCTGAGAAGGCCTTCTCCTTCTGACCTCCCCCTCGCTCGCCGCTGACCATGGGGGGCAACGGTAGGGGGGAGGATGGGAGTGGGGGGGAAACATCGACCTGGAATCGGCGATACATCGCCGATAGATCGGCGACAGGCCCCCGATCATGAGTCCTCACGTTCCTGGGCAGGTTTTGGGCTATCAGACCCCTATCGACCATCAATGGGCGATTAGGGGTGGATGCATCCCCCTCCGACTCCCGACGTCGTGATTTTTGTTTGCATCGTCGACCCCCAGAGGTCTGGACCCCTTCCCGGGGACCAGTTTTTCATCCTGAGTAATTTTTTGACGGTCCCGAGGCCCTGGAAGTACCCCAAGAGGCCGAACACAGCGAAAAGCCTCCCACGGTAATCTTTTCGCAGCGCGAGGAGGACTGGGCCCCTCGTGCCTGTCCCCCCCACTCTGTTGTTTCCCGTGAGTTGAAAAGGGACCGACCGCCCCGGCATTCCTATAGGTCCTACAGGCCTACCACAATATGTTCTTAGAACCCAGCAATGCTATAAGAACAAGAACGATTTTCTTAGAACGTACCATGAGCCCGATGCGCTAAAACAAGACAGTCCCAGCCAGAAATGCTCTGAGAACATTTCGTGCAGACCACAAAAGGTTTCTAGAACACTCTTTGGTGGGCCTACAGGCAAGCCAGGACGCTTCGACACTGCTCTTAGGTCGGGCATGTCCTCCTACTGGCGGATCTTGGACGAAACATTAAACACATAACCCCAAAGATAACCAAACATAGACAACACATGCTCCAAACATCGCCCCCAACTGTTGCGTGATTTCTGACTGTTTCTCCTGTAGAGGGACACGCCCGACTTACTCCAAATCCCTTATTAATCGACCCCCCTAAAAAACCGACCCCCCTCCAAGTGCGACCTAACATTCTGGACCCCCCTCTTCGACGGGGCGCCTTGATAAACCGGTTCCCTTATGAGCTCCAATCCAAAGAAAGCGCCCTAAGAAACCGGGCCCCCCCCAGTGACAAAAAAGGCACCTTAAAAAACCAGACCCGGGAGAAGATTAAGAAGGGATTTGGAGTAACACTGCTCGACGGAGACCAGCGGCCGCGCGGCAGCGCTACTGTTAGGTCGGGCATGTCCCCCTACAGGCGGATCTTGGACGAAACATAGAAAATAGTGAAAACAATTGTCAAAACATCGCCCCCACACTATACCTGGATTATTTTTGGGATCCTCCTCTTGTAGGGGGACGGGCCCGACCTGACGCAAATGGGAGCGCCGCCTCCCCGCGCACTCCGCGCGGCTGCTGCCAGCCCGCCGCGGCGTGCTGCCACGCGGGCGGCCGCCCAGGTCCTGCGGAGGGCCGTCGCCCCCCCCCCCCCCCGCAGGGGCGGCGGCGCGGGGAGGCGCGGGGGCGGCGAGGGGCCCAGACCCCTCCTCCTCCTCCTCCTCCCTCCTCCTCCTCTCTCCTCCTCCTCCTCCTCCTCCCTCCTCCTCCTCCTCCTCCTCCTCCTCCTCCTCCTCCTCCTCCTCGAGCACTAAGTCGGGCGTGTCCCCCCTACAGGGGGATTTTGGACGAAAAACTGCAAAGAGTCAAGAGAGATGCTCCCAAATGGGCAAGAGTAGTGCAGAAATCGTCCCCGGACTATTTTCTCACTATTTCTATAGATTCCTCCTGAAGAAGGCCACGCCCGAATCAACTCGAGCACGGGGAAAAATCGCGACGGGAGGTTTTTCACCACTTTCGGCCTCGGGGGGGCCCTTCCCGGGCCCCGGGGCCGTCAGAAACCGACTCGGGATGAGAAACTGGTCCCCGGGGAACGGATCGAGACCGTCTCGAGACCTCTGGGGGTCGACGTCATGAGCAAATCATGACGTCGGTGGTCTGGGAGAGAGAACGTTGGTCGGCGGCGTCGTCCACTTCGGAGCGTCGAGGACAAGATGCGCGGCGACACTCCGCGACTTGGGACAACAAAATGCGTAAACCATGCTATCTTTCGCCTGGGTTCGGTTCAGCCCTCCATGCGTCGCTGCGCCATTTGTTCCGACGCGCGGCCTTGCGTCTGGGGGAGGGCACCGCGGGCATCAGGACAAAAAACGCCGCCTCGGACGCGGTGGGCTTGCCAGAAGGGTTTGCCGCGGTGCCCGCTGCTTTCCTGGGGCGCGGGGCGCAGGGTTTGCCGTGGCCCTGCCGTGGTGTCGGCATCGTCCACCTGGGCGCGTCGAGGACAAACGGCGCGGCGACACACACACACAAACACACATACACACATACAAAGTATACATCAATACGTATATACAGATATGCATGCATGCATGCATACACACATACATGGATACGCACATGCATATATACATATATGCATACATACATACATGCATACATACACACATACACACGTGAATACGCTATCTACACATAGAATGAATACCTGTGACACATACAACACATGTACCTATATATACAAATGCATACATATATACATACATGTAAACAAACCTACATACATACATACATACACACACACATACACACATACATACATACATACATGCATGCATGCATACACACATATACCTATGCATCAAATACAATTGCACACATAATCATACATGCACCCATCCATGCATACATACATGCATACATACACACATACAGACCTGCATACGCATATACATACATACATGCATGCATACAGACATGCATGCATGCATGCATACATACATATACCAATGCATACCTACATTCATACATACATATATACATACATAAATACATGCATGCATGCATGCATACATACATACATATATACATGCATACATGCATGCATACATGTACGTAAACATAATTACCGATATGCATACATACATACACATATCAAATGTCCTTCTTGCCGGGCGAAAGCGTGGATTCCTCGCAAGGGATCTCGCTGAATCGAAAACCAGGGCATGCGGAGCGGGCCACCGGCCATCGCCACGGAGCTCTTCGGTCGAGGGCCGAGTGTCTCTACCGTGTCTTCGTGCCCTTAGGCTGGCCACGATTCGGGGGCGAGCCCGGGGGGAAGTGATTCTTGCTGTAGGAAGGCGCTTGAAGTTGATTGGTTTGAGATTAATATCTCAGAACACCTACTTTCAACGACTGGCGTGTATGGGTATACCTGGCGACCCGCCGCTCTCTCCTGGATCGTCGGCGAGCCCGGTGGGGAAGTGAGAAGGGGCGGGCCTTATCAGAAGGCTCGGAAGTCCCCCGGGCTTCTGAGAAGTGCTCTAAGTCTTCACAGAAGCCACAACCAAAGCCCCGCCGCCTTCTGAAAAGACCTTCTCCTTCTCACCTCCCCTCGCTCGCCGCCGAGATGGGGGGAGGACCACGGAAAAATCAGGCCAGGATGAAAATCCAGCCCAGGGGAATGGGTCGAGACCTCCGGGGGTCGACGCTACGAACAACTCATGACGTCGACGGCCTGGGGTGGAGTCGCGAGTGGCGAACACATCCGTATATCCACGGGGGGGCCTCGCGGCCTGGACTCCGGGGCGCGATCCCGCGGGTGCGCGGTCGCACGTTTTCCGCGCGGGGCGGCCGCGAACAAAAACGCCCTGTAATGCGGGATGACGATTAATAAAAAATTGGAGAGAACGATTAAAAAAATAGATTGCTACTATTTCTGCATATTTTCTGACTGGAGGAGAACGATAAAAAAATAGTTATCCAGCCCGCGGCCGGTGTTTTCTAATCGTCATCCCGGGCGCCGCCGCGTGAACACGACCCCCGGTCATTTATTAATCGCCATCCTCCATTATCCGCGGGGCCCCTGCCCGGGGGC